TCCAGAGGTTTCACCACTCTCTGGGGTGTTTCCTCCCCTGTGATATAATCCGCATCTCCTACTTTTCTCATGTGGACCCCTCAACAGTAGGAAGTGCTCCATTCAGAGCTATGGTTACGTGCTGAGCTTTTCGGGACAGGGACTGGGTTGGAGCCTAAATGTACAGACTGGGAGAGAACAGGATTTTAACTACTCCGACCATTTCCTGCTGAATGAAACACAGGCTGAGCCCTCACATTTCAAAAGTGCCCAGTTGGTGAGAAGACCCACTGCAGGGAGGAGAAGGGAAGAAACTTCTCCTTAACCCAGGTCCCAGATGAGGAAACAGCCCAGTGACACTCGGCCCAGTGACACTCACTCAGCCCAGAGGGCCCTCAGACTGAATGTGCACGTGGGAACCCGGGCAGAAGTGGGCTCCAGGCGTCCCCTCACCTGCGCAAGGTGGCAGCGGCTCTCAGCACCCACCTCAGCACCCACCTGCCCAGCCTTCCTCACTGAGTCACAAGGGAACTGGGTGGGAAGGATTTCAGCCTCATGTGTTTGGCCCCGCGTGGGGCTGGGATTCTGCCTCCATCCGAGTGGAGTGCAGTGATGTTCATGGAATAGGGTGTGTCTGGAACCAGCTGCTCCAAGTGCGCCGTGGGGGTGTTCCCTGGCACCACAACCTGGAGGGGAGGACATGCCAAATTCTGTCTGGTAACAACCCAAATGCTTATTTACTCTTTTGTTAGCATAATAATGTTTATAGTGAAGGACTGAGCCCAGACTCAGCAGAAGCCAACCTCTGTGCTACTTCGTGACATCTCCCCGGGCCACAGCATTACATGCACTTTTCCCTCAGAAATTCCCTCTCCACTAAATCTGAGTACACACTTGACCCTTAGCAACCTCGACAACCTCCCATTTAGGTTCCTGGGGAAGGTTCTCAAATACAACATCCAGGGCTTACGATAGTGACCCCAAAGCACCCCGAATGTTAGAGACACTTCTCAGGGAAAGGTTTTTCTATTAAAATGGAGCTACTCCATGCGATGGACAAGGGCGGTGCTGTCTGAACTCGTCCTGCCACACACAAGGGTGCAAATCAACACTCGGACAGGCTCAACTTGTGTTTATCTTTGTCCATGGTCCCTGCTTCTTTTTGTAAAGTCTCATAAATTTACTTTCCCTCAGGTGTTCTGACACTCTCCCTACTCAAATCAGTCATTTCTGCTCTCTCTGTTATTAATCTACTTAGAGAATGGAATAGTACTAAGCCAGATTGGGCAGTCTATTAAGAGCCAATGAAGGCAAACTTTTAGGTAGGGTCCTAACAAAGACGTGTGTGTTACAATGAAAGTCCATATTGACAAGGTGTATCAACGACTTGCATTTACTACTAGGGTTTTTAACTCATATAGCTAATTTGCTTTTTCCCCAAATTTGCTTTTGCTTACTAACCCTACAGTTCATACCGTTACAATTTAATTCATCAAAAGCAATCACTTAATAAGCATTGTACATGGGCATGTTTGTGGCCTGTGTTCTCACAGGCTGCCAAGCATGACACAAATATGAGACTAAGTTCATCAGGAAATGAGTGTGCCTGTGACCCAGGGCCACACCAACTGACCTACTGTCCTGCACCAGCAACTACAGCAGGAGGCACCGTAAAATCTACAAAATTCTTCTGCCAGCTCTAAGGTTACAACAGTACTTACAAGTTCCGGGGGCCTCGTGCTAGCCAGGGGAGCGCACACAACGCGGTACTGCGGCACTGGCCAGGGGCGGGGTCGAGATCGTCCCAGCTGCTTGGGGTCGGACTGTACACTTGGACATCTCTGGCCAGTCTTCTCACCACTGAGGAAAGAAAAGCCAACATGTATTTCTTACATCTATTTACACATGTCAAGCTTTTGTTATCACTTCCCCCAAACTTCCACTTTGTAGCAGGATAAAATACTGACCTCTTTAGACTTTGAATTATCTGCATTCAAAAGCAGATGAAAACTCTCCAAATCCACATTTAGCCAAACTTAGCCAACTAGGGCCTTGGTCTCTATGGAAGCTAAGTTGTTGCCAATAAAAACAAGGGAGTACAAGTAGTAGTACTGGGTTGGCCATAAAAGGACAAGGGACAAGGAGCAAGAGCGAGAAATTGGAAAAGAAGCTTCAGTTTTCCAGCACAGGTCATGGAGAGAGAGACAAGAGGATTCTACCATCTCCGCCTCTAAATGAGAACTGACAACACCGAGGACACCCATCTAACTGTGGCAGCTAGGTTAGCTGGTTTCAATCATTCATTTCTTATCATTCAACAGACACTGAATGTCTTCTGTGAGTCAAAGAAAAGGCAAATATAGGGAGAAATCAAAGATAACTCAGTTCTCAATTAACTGCCCCTACAGGGACTTAGAAAAACATGCAAATTGAATCCATATATTATCCCCAAACTCCACTTTACCAATAACATCATTTTTCTAGATCACTAATCTTTTGCCAAAAGAAGTCATCCACATTTGCTTTCTTTTAGCCATCAACACATATATTTTTAAGCCAAATAAAATATTTAGAGGTATGCACCAAAGACTTTAAACAATACTACAAAGAATTGTAAAACCACTATAAACTGGTTTCCCAAGATGTTAATAGCAAATGAAAGCAGAGATTTTCAATGCCAAAAAGCACTTCATCAGCAGAGAAATGTGCTATCAAGTAACGTGACCAACAGATTTCAACAACTGCCACTCAAAGCCAGTGACAAAACGCTGCTTCATACAAATTTATCGAGCACAAAGCAAAGCTCATGAACTTTTGTCAGTGACAGAGAATACTGGTAACTGTATACACATTTATAAATCCTAAAGTTCTCATTTCAGAAGAATGTCATTTTTATTTCATACACTAAAATATTAACAATTGGTGGGGGTTGGGAGGTAAACTATGTGTAACTGTTACATTTTTATTCCATCATTATGAATTTCCCAAATTTTCTTTATATGTTAAACTTTACGCCACACTAAAAAGCAAAATGCATCATGAAAACGCTAAATTTGTCTGCCTTCTTACTTCCACGTCCTTCCAGTGTCTGGTGTACACCCTCCATCGCCCTTAGGATAAAGGGGAACCACTGTAACGGTGTCTGGGGCATCTGGCTGCAGATTCCTATGAAC